GCCAAGTTATGGAAACAGCCAAGATGCCCCACCACTGACGAATGGATTAAGAAAATGTGGTATCTATACACAATGGAATTTTATGCAGCCATGAAGAAGAACGAAATGTTATCATTCGCTGGTAAATGGATGGAATTGGAGAACATCATTCTGAGTGAGGTTAGCCTGGCCCAAAAGACCAAAAATCGTATGTTCTCCCTCATATGTGGACATTAGATCAAGGGCAAACACAACAAGGGGATTGGACTTTGAGCACATGATAAAAGCGAGAGCACACAAGGGAGGGGTGAGGATAGGTAAGACACCTAAAAAACTAGCTAGCATTTGTTGCCCTTAACGCAGAGAAACTAAAGCAGATACCTTAAAAGCAACTGAGGCCAATAGGAAAAGGGGACCAGGAACTAGAGAAAAGGTTAGATCAAAAAGAATTAACCTAGAAGGTAACACACATGCACAGGAAATCAATGTGAGTCAATGCCCTGTATAGCTATCCTTATCTCAACCAGCAAAAACCCTTGTTTCTTCCTATTATTGCTTATACTCTCTCTACAACAAAATTAGAGATAAGGGCAAAATAGTTTCTGCTGGGTATTGAGGGGGTGGGGGGGAGAAGGAGGGGGTGGAGTGGGTGGTAAGGGAGGGGGTGGGGGCAGGGGGGAGAAATGACCCAAGCCTTTTATGCACATATGAATAATAAAAAAAAAAGAAAATATATGTCAACAAAAGGCCTATGCAAAAATGTTTAGAGCACAATGTTGGAAACAATTAGCATTTTAACAAATACATTAACAATTGAGTTAAAAAAATAAAATAAAACATGAGGCATTGCTGATGACAGGGATTCTATACTGAACATGGGAATTAAGTGAAAGTCAATATTGAATGGTGACATCCCAGCTCCCTTCTCCAACTCAGCTCTGAGAGTGCTGGTGACCAGGCTTACCCTCTTCAACCTGCAGGCAACTGGAAAATTCCTCGCTGGGAATACTTACCAGCTTGAGGGGGAAAAACCCTCCAAGTTTAATAAACTCATCTGTTACTGAGAAGCCAACCTCCAACCTGCCTCACTTCTGTTGTTGGTCTCATTGTTCCTTTTTAAACTTAATTTTATTGTGATAAGAACATTTAAGATGAAATGTACCCTCTTACCGAGCTTTCCAGTGTACATTTTCGTTGCCTATAGGCACAAAATTACATAACAGATCTCTAGAGCTTATTAATCTTGTTTAATTGATACTTTATGTCTGTTAATTAGTCTTTACTCTCAAATGGAAGGCAACGAAGAATCTCCTTCAGACAATCGAGGAATACCTCAAGCATGAAAGACAAAATGGAACTCAGAGTGAGGCACAATAGATGAGAAAAACGAGGCATGGGGAACAGGAGACAGGAGTTCAGAGCTTAGTGTTATATTAACGAATAGCTTGATTAAAAGCACAAAGGACTACTTCCTTTGCTTGAAGTTTTACACTCCCTCACTAAGCTGCAACATACAGTTAAAAAAAAAAAAGAACACAACTCTCTTTCTCTGACCTGTCTGTTTGCTCACATAACAACCATACTCTGGGACTGAGCAAGAATATCATAAAGAAAACCACTTATCCTGGGAAAAATACTTGGCAAAATGACTCCTTTGATCACAGAAGTGTTTGCAAAAAAGGAAAAATTATCTTAAGGAAAGATGCCTGGCTTAAGAAGAACATTGGTGAAACCGATCTTAAAGGAATACTCAAGAAAAAGACATCTGTGTCACATTGACCCAAATATAGTACACTGACCAAGTTTGATATCTTCGGGTCCAATTGATAAGCAGTATAAGAGAAAGAATGACAGAATCTTTCTGGTATCCAGAACAAAAGTGACATCATAATTAAAACAAAACAAAAAAAAAGGTGACACCTTTGTTCTAAGGTGAATTTAAACCAACTTCCCAAAACCTACTTTTTTTTTTTTTAACCACAAATACCCTGATGTTATACCACACAGTGTATCTCTTACCAGATGTGCCCTCTGGCTTTTCTAGGTCTATCCTTTCTTCACTTGTTTTATGAACAAACTTTATTGATCTCTACGTAGCTTGATGTGCCTTAAAATTCTTTTCTGTGGCAACATCAGCATCTCAGTACCCGAAGGCCAGGTGTGGCTTCCTCCTTTTTAGAGACCTCTCTAGAGCTTCACCTGTTCCAGTAGAAAGAGGAAATAAAGGCAAGGAAGTTTAAAGGAAAACACAGGATTAAGAAATCCTATGATCTATTCTTGAACTTAAGAAAAAAAGCAAAATCCCTCCCTTCAAAAGAAAGGAGGCTTTAAAATGAATGTTCAAAAAAAGAATTACTGGGTGGGTGCTGGTGGCTCATGCTTGCAATCCTAGCTACTCGGGAGGCAGAGATCAGGAGGATCATGGTTTGAAGCCAGCCCAGGCAAATAGTTCATGAGACCTTATCTCAAGAACCCTTCACAAAAATAGGGCTGGTAGAGTGGCTCAAGGTGAAGGCCCTGAGTTCAAGCCCTAGTACTGAAAAAAAAAAAAGAAGAGACTGCTGCAAAATCGAAAATACTACAGTAGAAATGAAAATTGCAACAGAAGGGAAGAGGGTTGGGGGTGTTATATGCTCAGTACACACAAAGCTCTAGAGTCAAACCCCTGCATCAAAACATAAAACTGAAAAAACCCAGACTCCTCCTAAGTCTCCATACCAGAAGAAAAATAAGATGAGACCTGAAACTGTCAATTTTCACATTTTCCTGTTTACTTACAGTAGTGTATTTTTCATTCTTATCATCAATATAACTGAAACTATTAAAGGGAGCTTTTTCATGGGGCAATAAAAGATATAAATACTTTCTTAATTGTGGAATTTACTCTCTCCCTCCAAAATTAAAGCAAGTTCAATTTACCATCAAGTTTAATTTTTTCCCCATCTTTCAATCCCTTTCCTCAAAATCCTTGCTTGCTATGTGTACCAACCCTAAACTATCCTTGTCCATTCTCAGCCAAGCCTGAGAAGACCTGCATTAAAGCTGACCTCAAAACTCCATAGAGGTCTCAACTTTTGCCTTCCTCCTCCTGAGGAGGCTACCAAGATGATCAACTTAGAGTTCTTCCTTACTTCAGAAAGAATAAACTTAGCTTTGTTTAGTCAACAGGTTGTTTTGGTGATATTTTTGATGGATCCAAAATTATCGTCTTTCAATAAGATAGTGCAAAAAAGACAGAGAGGGAAATGTGAGGAAAACAAACCATAAGAAAGTAAAAGATAATTCAGGAGCACTAATATTCAAATTCCAAGACAAAACGGTGGAGAGGAAAATAACAAAGAAGTCAAGAAAATTTCCCAGAATCGAAGTCCATAAACTTCCAGTATAAAAGGCATTATGGATCACAGGAGACCCACACTAAGATTAAAATCACTGCAAAATTTCAGAAAAATTGAGACAAAAGGCAGAAGAAAACATTCTTGGTTTTATGCAGGTTAAGACTATTGCCACCAGGTGGCAGGAAGGCCTCAAAGGCTCGAATTCTAAAAACAGGTTGTTTTTCTTCGTATCTTAGAAAGAGGTAGGTTCAGTGTGGATTCCTTCTGTCTAGTCAGGCTGTACTGGCTGTGGGAGGGTGGGGAGTTTTTAAGAGAATGAACTCTGGACTATAGTTGTCTACTTATTATTTATTGTCTACTATTATTGTAGACAGAAAGACTTCTTGCATGCAGGGATCCTACAAAACATTCATTTGTTCATTCTCACTACAAGCAGTATTGATGCCCACTATATGCCAGGGACTGTGTTTAGTACCAGGAAGACTTTTGTAAAAAAAAAAAAAAATCAGACATGATCTTTGTCTTCATGAAGCTTAAGTTCTGAAGAGAGAAACATTCAATAACCAAAGGTATATGGTTGGTGTGGGGGATGCAGCTCAGTAGTAGAGTGCTCACTTAAGCATTCACAAGCCCTTGGCTTATACAATCCACATCAGCAAAACAACCCAACAAATTCATTCAACAAAATATGTACATACACATATGCATATATATATATATATATATGAAGCAATATATTATTACATAAATAAATTGCCACAAGTGCTATAAAGGGAAGACTTAGGTGCTCTGAGAACAAGAGTCCTATCAGTCTCTCTGAGGAATCTGACAGAGGTAAAAGAGGAAGTAAGCAGTTCAGTCAGGAAGCCATTGAAGTTGTCTAGGTGGGAGCTAAAAAATGGCTGAGATCAGGATGATATTGAGGTAAAGGGAATTCACAAGATGTTGGAAGTGGTTATTGTCTGGACCTGGGAAGAGAAAGTGCATTAAAGATGACTCCCATGTTTCTGGTTTGGTGGGATTGCCATTTTCTGAGGTGGAGGAGGCTTAGGGAGAAACAGATTTTGGAGGAGTGGGTGGTAGATAGAACCAGGAATTGTGAGGGGCGTATTAATCAAACTGATTTTTTCTTCCCAGGCATCTGGTTTATAGTGGATGCTACTGATCCAGGCTAGTGTGGGGTCTGTTCTGATCCACTGCCTAATAGAATGGCATGGCTTGATCTGGCTTATTCGGTTTAAACTGATTCACAGTTGGCATTCATTAAGTTAAAAATTGCTGTTAACTCAGCAACTCTATAGAGTAACAGAAAAACAGCTTGGATTTGTAGTGTCCTATCTGAGGTAGGTATTTGAGAGTTAGAGAGAACTGGCCAGAGAATCTTCTAAGATCATTTTTGTTGTTACTTGTTTGTATGCTGTTTGTAAGGCCCACACAGTCTCAAAGGATAAGAAGCTTCTGGAAAATGTAAGCCCAGTTGTTTCAGGGAATCCTTCTGAGTAATAATTGCAGATAAGATCAGGGTGCGATTCTGAGATGTCGGAGATGAAAACCTCCATGAGTTCTGGAAATAGAGACCCTGTTTGTCTTCTTTTACCTCTAACATAGTGCCTGATACATATTTATTCAGTGTGTGCTGAACTGAAAGGCTCCATCTGGGTTTTTTTTTTTTTCATTCTCCAGACCTGACTCTCCAGAGGACTTGAAATCCCTCCTATGCGTTTCTTTCCAAGGAGCTGCTACCCAGAAGCTGTGTACTGGAGCTTCTCCAGATTCTTTAGGGCTTAGGACCATGTCACTGGTAGGTAGGAAAAACACTCCTCTTTCATTTTTCCTACACCCTCTATCATGGAGATATTTTGCCATCATCAACACAGTGTTAAGGCAGAATTTTTTTTTTTTTGTGGTACTGGGGTTTGAACCCAGGGCCTACACCTTGAGCCATTCCACTAGCCCTTTTTTGTGTTGGGTATTTTCAAGATAGGCTCTGGTGAACTATTTGCTTTGGCTGGCTTTGAACCACGATCCTCCTGATCTCTGCCTCCTGAGTAGCTAGGATTATAGGCGTGAGCCACCGGCACAAGGCTGTTAAAGCAGAATTTAAAATCAATTTAGCCCTCAATATCAGTGTTGTCATTTGTGGCCTAGAGGTTGAGTAGTTCTGTGCTGTGCAATTAATCAATGGTTACTTCTCTTTCTTTAATTCATTCTTTGTCTTCTCTTTGTACCCATTTGTTTGTACCATTTGGACTGTTCTTCCTTTTCTTCTCCCATTAGGTCATGCCTTTTTTTTGTTTTGTTTTTTTGGTGATTGCCTGTATTCTGGAGTTTTAGAGGGTTTTGTCCTTTTTTTTAGTATTTAGATGTGATTCTTATTTTTCCCAATCCAAAGCTCCTTGAGAAAATAGGTCCAAAATCCTGCGAAAAGTTTCACTTGAACTTTTGCCTGAAATGGAAAAAAAAAAAAAGCCAGGCAGCACTTGGAATCTGGACATCTGGACTGTTGTAAATTTTTCAAGGTGATACAGATATGAGATATTTAAACAAATGACATTTCTGGAAAGCTTTTTAAAGTAAACAGTTTTTTTTTTGACAAATGTTTTTATCATTTTATTTATTTATTTTTTAATTCATTTATTCATATGTAAAATAAACCGTTTTAATTCAAAGCTTTTGGGAAGGGTTGTCTGGAAACATCACATCACATTTAATGTGTAAAACTAGCTTCTCTGTATCTTATTTTCCTCCGTAACTGCTTAAGAGTAGAATCAGTCGAAAGAATGAAATCAGAGGCTTAAATATTGAAAAGAAGATGGTAAAATTGTCATTTATGTAGCTGTAGTTGGAAATTTAAGGAAATCAAATTAAAAGTTATTAGAAACAGTAGGATCATTTACACAAGTAACCATTACAAAGTAAATATGTAAAAAAGTAATATTCACATATTACATCCAAAACCAGTTGAAAAGGGTAATAGGTAAAGTTATTATAATCATAAATCAAAACAACAATAACAGCAAACCCTAATAAGAAATATGCAGGTCCTAGATGAATAAAAATTTAAAACAATAAAGGATATTAAAAGGCTTAAACAGAAGAATCTATCTATATCCAATTTTTTTCTATGTTAATATATGGATTCAATGAAATCCCAACAAAACTATACCTAGATTATTTGCTTTTGCAACCTGACTTGATTTTTAGTTCAATTAGAAGAATAATTATGTGAAATTGATCAGCAAAAAAATTTAAATAGTTGTGAGGGAAGCCTTGGCTCTGGTGGCCCACATCCAAGATGGCCCTAATGGCCTCTGCCCTCTGTTCTTTTTTTTTTTTCTTAGTTCTTGTTAAATTTTATTGGCATCATGTTCATCTCTTTACAGAAGAACTCAGCCCACACCTTAGAACATAGGCCTCTGGAGAAGGGAAAGTGCTCCATCAAGCAAGCCAGGAAGCAGGGCAGGTCCTAGGGAGGGAGCAGGGCTGCCAGGGCTCAACTGAAGGTGACTAGTGCTGGGCCACACAGGGGAGAAGGAAAAGATCTATTAACCTAGGACACCACAATCCTGAAAGGAGCACCTTCCAGAGCAAAGGTAGGGTCATTAGGACAGGTCTGCTAGGGCTCTCCTTTCCTAAGAGAGTAGGGTGCTAATCTAACGGGAGTTCTGAAGTGTAGAGCAAAAGGGAAAAAAGGGGGGTGTGAAGAATTTTAATTTCTGAAATAACAGCCATTATCCATTGCACACACCACTGTATTATGCAAATCAACCTTTGGGAAAATTTAGGCACAGAAGGGAACTGTCTAGTTCAGTTCTCCCTCTGGAGAGATGAAAAGCTTTTTGGCTCTTAAGTCTTTGATAAAAGGCATACATAATTCTTGTGTCTACTATACACAATACTGCCACTAGCTGGATTTCCAAATTCTGCTCTCTTTACACTCTGCAATCCAGACAGGGTTCAACCCTCTGCCTTACACACCAGTGTTACAGAACTTAAACACATAATCCAAGAATTCCTCACACTAATTTATACATTTTTAATTGGGTTGCATATATTAACATGTACTATAAGATTCTTTTCTAAGAAGCATTACATAATAAATGGATACTATAAAATGATCTGATTAGTTAAAAATAACAAGCATTAACAGATACATACAAAACTCAGCCTGACCAGACTGGATGTGAACCTGTAGTGAAGCATGAGCACCAGCCTTCCCAAGGGGACCTTTGGGGGAAGAAGGTAGGGGGACAGGATGGGGACCACAAGACCATTAAAAAGTCAGATAACTGATTAGATCAACTGAAAACAGTTTCTCTCTCTCTCTCTCTCTCTCTCTCTCTCTCTCTCTCTCCAGTGGACAAAAACAATAAGCTTCAGATGCTGACTGCACACCACAGTGGGATCTACAGCACCTGTCCTGTTGCCACACATGGAGTGGGTGGCTGACCACAGGAGCCCTTGCAGGCATGGCCTGGAGTTTGTCTACTTGTTTGTGTATGTGGGACTCTGTTTGGTGGGACTTCTTTTGGCAGCTGGGTGTGAGAGTTCACTTTCATTTTGTTTAGAAGGGTTGGGGGGGGCTTGTGTTTGAAGGCCTACATGTGTTCTTGGTTGGGGAAGGAGTCTCTGCTCTGCATTCACTGCCTCCTCAGCAACCATAGCTCTCTGCTGAGGCCCTGTCCAGTTTGATGGGTTCAGGGAATTCATTGTACAGCTGTACTCTGTCTCCTGTTTAAGGGTATTCCTTGCAATCATCTGGAAGGCCTGTTCCACGTTGATGGCCTCCTTGGCAGTGGTCTCAAAGTAGGGAATGTTGTTTTTGCTGTAGCACCAGGCCTGTGCCCTCTTTGTAGCCACTTGTCTGTTTTCAATGTCGATCTTATTTCCCAACACAACAAAAGGGAAATTTTCAGGATCCTGGGGACTGGCCTGGATGAGAAACTCATCTCTCCAGCTGTCAAGGGTTTTGACCGTGTTGGGGGTAGTCACGTCAAACACCAGAACGCAGCAGTCTGCACCTCTGTAGAAGGCCACACCAACAGATTGGAACTGTCCCTGGTCTGCATGGTGACTAGTCTGCCATCCACCAACACCTCCTTGGTCATAAAGTCTGCTCCTACTGTGGGTTTTGTACTGATTTCTGAACTTCTTATTCACATACTGGTTCATGAGTGATGCCTTACCTAGAGGTCATCCTTCAGACACAGCTGCTGTGTGGGGCTCGCTGAGGAGACTCAACAGAGGACATGGCAGAGAAGTCCAAATTCCAGCTCCAGCAGACTCCTCTGTGCTCTGCCAGCCTCCAACACCACTTTGGGCTTCATGGCCAAGGCTCCAGTCCCTGCTCCCACTTTGCCACCGTTGAGCCTTCTGTTTTTGCAGACTGTGTAGTCCCCTCCCACAGTGTACCAGGGTAGGGTAGCCAGATAAAATACTCAATGCCCTGCTAAATTTGAACTTCAAATAAGCAATGTACAGATTTTTTTAGTGTATTTCTTAACTATTGCATGGGATACGCCTACACTAAAAATAATTGTTTGAAAATCAAATTTAACTGAGAATATTATATTTTTCTTCCTTAAATATGGCAACTTTATTAAACCCAGTTTGATCTGGGTTATCAATTGCATATTATGAAGCAACGATATGTCACTTCTGAGGTTAGGTTACAAAAGACTATTGCTTCTATCTTGAGCCTCAGCTCCCATCAGTCTGTCTCTCTCTCATTGTGGAGGAAGCAAGCTGCCATGTTGTGAGCAGCCCTGTGGAGAGGCTCACATGGCAAGGAACTAGAACCTCTAGCCAGCATCAAGTGAATAACCGATGCCTGTGGTATTAGTTTCTTTTGTGGATTTGTGATTAAATACCAGACAGAAACAACTTAAAAGAGGAAGGATTTATTTCAGCTGATGGCTTCGAGGATTTAGTCCATCGTGGTGGACTCTTGCTTCTGGGCCTGTGGTGAGGTAGAACATCACAAGTCTTTTTTTTTTTTTTTGATGGCACTGGAGTTTGAACTCAGGGCCTCATAGGCAGGCACTCTACCACTTGAGTCACTCCACCAGCGAGGTAGAACGTCACAGTGGCAGGAATGTGTGAAGGGGAAGGCAGCTCGCCTTATGGTGGACAGAAAGCAGAGAAGCCTGAGACAAGATACAGCCCAAGGATAAGACCAGTGACTTATTTCTTCTAGCTAGTCCCTACCTTCAGAAGTTTCCAAAACCTTATAAAATAGCTCTGCCACTTGAGGATCGAGTGTGTCTGTGAGGGATATTTCATACTCAAACCATAACACCTGCCAACAGTAAAGGATTGTAGAATTGGATCCTTCAAACGCAGTCAAGCCTTAAGATGCCTGCAGCCCCACCTAACACCTTGACTGTAACCTGTGAGAAACCCTTAGCCTGGACCACCCAGCTAACCTGCTCCCAGATTCCTGGCCCCCCTCAGAAATTGTGTAAGATAATAAATGTTGTCTTAAGGTGCTAAATGTTGGAATAATTCATTGTTGAGCAATAGGTAACCAATACACTGGCTTGTAAAGTTTACAATGATTAGAAAAGTTTGGTATATGATGCAGAAATCAATATACTTCAATCAGTAGTATTGGGATTCTAAAAATGGAATGTGTGTGTGGACACTTTGTATAGGATGCAGGTAGCATTTTTGATTAATGTGTAAAAGATTAATTAGTAAATAAATGACATTGGGATAATCACCTAGCCATTAATTAATTAATTAAATTTTTGGTGTATGTTTAAGGCATAGAGCATGACATTATGGAATATGTATAGACAGGAAAAGATTACGATAGTGATCTATCATCTATCATCCGAATAGTTACTGTTTCATGACAAGAGCATCTAAAAGCTACTTATTTAACAAAAACCCTTAATATAATTTGATTAACTACAATCCTAGTGTTGCATACTAGATCCCTAGACTTGTTTTTCAACATCTGCTATTTTAATCCTTGGACATAACATTTTTCCATCTCATTCCCACTGTTTAATTCTAGATCTTTATATATTTGACATTTTGTTTTTAGATCCCACATGTAAGTGAGAGCATGCAATATTTTCCTTTCTACTTCTGGCATATTTCACTTAGCATGGCATCCTCCAGGTGGGAAATGGTAGGGTCTCTTTTTATAGGCTGACCATTATTCCATTGTATACTCACTGTTTGTGGCACATTTTCTTTGTCCATCTGTCTGTCAGTGCACCTGTGGGTTTCCAATCTTGCCTGTAGTGAAGAATACAGCAATGAACAGGGGAATGCAGGTATCTTCCATGATTTTACCTCCTTTGGGTAAATACCTAGGAGAAGATGGGTGGCTCATTCTGGTAGTTTATTTTTTAATTTCCTTAGGAACAACCAGGCTCTTTCTCATAGTGACTGCACCAATCTACTTCCTACTCACAGTGTACTAGGGTCCCCTTTTTGTCACATCATCTGTCCTTTTGGAACCTTGCCAAAGATAAAGAGACCCTCTTGTTCCTGGACTAGGCCTTTCTTTTTTCTTCTTTTTTTTGGGGGGGGAGGGGCGGGAGGTGGTACTGGGGTTTGAACTCAGGACCTTGAGCTTGCTAGGCAGGCACTCTACCACTTGAGCCACTCTCTCTGCTAGCTGGGCTAGATTTTTAGGTGAATTTCAGAACACACGCACAAAAAACATACTTGAAAGTTTTTTATTTTTCCTTTATTCCCTAAGTCAATGTTAAGCAATATTTATATGCTACCTATATTGGGGCTTAGAAAATGATAACGTGGCGTGAAGGCCTCAGGGCAGCCTCAGATGCTTCTTTATGACCTCCTGTCTCTCATCCTAGAATAAGCTATAGAGACAAGAATTCCTCTTTCCCAAAGAGAGTCATAGAAACTGAAACCCACTTTTCCCAAAGCCAGCCATAGAACCTAAAAGAATCACTCTAATTTCCTCCCCACTTTTTTGTGTAAGAGCTAACCATAAAGAAATTCTTTGACCTACCTTGTTTGATTGCAGATCTTAGACTCTTGTTCCAGAAAGGGTCTTTTCCCATATGTAGAAGGAAGGGATGCCACAGGTGAGCATATCTCAATATTTGTGCAGTCTAGGCCCCCAGGCCGAAATGGCTCACATGGTTTTAGAGCTGGCAGTACTGACTGAGGGGAAGGGTCTGATGTTTTTTTTAATATCCCTCCCCACAGGGAAACATAGGTATCAGGTCATAATGCATCACAATTCCTTAGCCTCATATGTAGCATTTCAGTAATGACAGATACTCAACTTTGTTCCCTCATTGAAAGCGTGAAGGGACAACCTCACCTCAATTTTCTGGTAGAAGCATTAAATAGCAAGTAAGCATTAAAAATGAAAGATGTATGATTTTTCCTGAATATTCTGTCAATATTGCACATACTTTATTTTTTTCTGAGATCATATTTAATCTATATTTGTATCATTTCTTTTGGGAAGGATAATACAAATCCTGGTAAAAATTTTTCTTGTCTTTCTCATCTGCTTTTCCTTTCCCTTCTTCACACAATAATAATTTCTAAAAATATTTTAAATATAAGGATTTTGTTTATTTTTTGTGGTGCTTGGGATTAAACCTAAGGCCTCACATATGCTACGAGGACTCTACCATTGAGCTACATCCCAGCCCTACTTTTTTTTAGCATAAGAAAGAACATAGAAGAACACAAAATGATATAGAATCCCACTAGTCAACAAGCCTATTGACTTAAAAAGATAAAGTTATACTGTAATGGAAATTCAAATATCTTAACAGATTTTTAGAAAAAAAGTACACTATTTAATGTGTACTTGGTATGTGAAAACAGAAAACTGTGTGAAGCAGATGAAGGATGCATCTTAGAATTGATGAATTGTGTTCTTTCTGTCTGTTTTTATTTTTTTGTATTTTTTATGTAGCTGATATATATACATACATATGTAAAATGTATGCACATTTGCCGGGCACCGGTGGCTCACGCCTGTAATCCTAGCTATTCAGGAGGCAGAGATCAGGAGGATTGTGGTTCGAAGCCAGCCCGGGCAAATAGTTCGTGAGACCCTATCTCGAACAATTCTATCACAAAAAATTGGGCTGGTGGAGTGGCTCAAGGTATAGACCCTGAGTTCAAACCCAGTACCACAAAAACAAAACAAAACAAAAACCAAAAAAAAAAGTACGCACATTTTTGTAGTGTTTTTTCACTTACTGTTATAAACATTACATTAATGTCATTAAAATTAATGATTATATTTTTAATGTAATTTAATGAAATAAAATGTAATTAGAACTATTCCATTGTAATTATAATTGTTCACCCATCTTACCACAGTTGGCAGTTGTTTCTGGTGTTGATTGTCTAATGAATGCTTTTATAGACGTCATTGTGCCATAAAGCTTTGCTGACTTTCA